AACCAATAGACCAAAGATTTTTTTGGACCAAGTTTTAATTTTTTATTTTGTACAGGGTGGTCACAAATTAATTTCACTTTCCAAAAATTTCGAGGGAAATTTTTTAAAATTTTTCAAATGTATTACCCTGTATTTCTATTCATTAACTGAAGGAGAATTTCATACCCTTTCACTTCCCTATGTACTTTCCTATACCTATCTGTCGCCGTTATAAAATAAATTCAAAAGGAAGAAAATTACGATAATAAAATTTATCCTAAAACATAAATTTACATTTTATAAAAGATGCTCAAAATGTCTGCCATTTTCTCTAATGCATACATTTATTCGTTGGGCGAATGATCGAGAAACGTTTCTAAGCATATCAGGTATAATGGAATGGAAAGCTTGCACTATCCTTTCTTTCATATTTTCAGGTGTTGTAGGTGGCGTAAGATAGACTAGATTTTTAATATAACCCCACAAAAATAATCGGGTTTTGTTAAGTCAGGTGATCGAGCTGGCCATTTTTTTTGGACCATTTCTACCAATCCATCTATTTGGAAACTTTTCATCTAATTCATCGGCCACTTCGCGTAAAAAAATGCGCTGCTACCCCATCATGTTGGTACCACATTGTTAGTCTTACAGCAAAGGAAATGTTTTCAAGTAAAGTAGGAAGATGATTTGCTAAAAAATCTAAATACATCAGACCATTTAAGTTGCCTTCAAAAAAATACGGCCCAATAACATGATCCCCAATTATACCTCCCCAAACATTTACACTCCATCTTTCTTGGCTATGTGTTCTGATGATGTTAGGATTTTCCGTGGAATAATAGTGGAAATTATGTCTATTAATGAATCCGTTCTTGTGGAATGTAGATTCATCAGAAAACAGCATTCTATCAAAAAAAAATGGATTTTATTGCAGTTTAGTTTGTGCCCAGTTACAAAACACCATTCTATTATCAAAATCAGTGTCTTTCAGCTCTTGATGCAATTGTATTTTATAAGGATGATATTGATGCTGTTTTAAAATCCTTCTAACGGATGTTCTACTTATACCTACTACTTCAACAATCTTTTTTTGACTTACATGAGGATCTTCTATCGCTGTCAAAATTACAGATAATTGGTTATCATTATCAGTAGCACGTTTGTCAATTATTGGTTTTTTATAAGCAACATTTCCTGTTTCGGTAAATCTTTCATGTAACTTTTCAAAACTTTTTTGATCAGGGATGCGTCTATCGGGATATCGTTGATGATAAATTCTTTTTGCCAATAAACAATTTCTGTCGGATTCTCCCAAAACATAGACCATGTCAATTAATTCGTTTTTCGTAAAATTCATTAATCATAGAAGAATTATCGCGATCAGTAAAAATAACTTGACACTTCATTAATAAATAATCTGACACTTCATTAAGACCCAGCCTACTTGATTGAATGTTCACTTTCAATAAAACCACTGGTAGAAATTGGATTTTTGATAGATCAATGTCTTTTTGGAATTTACTTTTAAACGACGACAGATAGGTATAGGAAAGTACATGGGGAAGTCGAAGGGTATAAAATTCTCCTTTCATCGATGAAATAATAATACAGGGTGTTCTATTTGAAAAATTTGAAAAAAATGTCCTAGAAATTTTTGGAAATTGAAATTAATTTGTGACCACCCTGTACAAAATAAAAAATTCAAACTTGGTCTAAAAAAATCTTTGGTCTATTGGCTTTATACATTTCTAGTTTTTTAAATTCTAACGTCAAATTCGAGAGAGCACTGCATATTTTAATAGGCGTCTGAAAATGTAATATTTTTTGGTATTTCTTCTTTTTCTGCGAAAGGGGTAGGATGATAGAAACAATATTTTGTGGGTATGCACTAGTGACCATAGAGTACCTAAAATTGGAAAAAAGTTGGGTCAACCCATTTAAAAAAAAATAAATGATTTGCCTAATTTACTATTGGGCCACCCTGTACACAAGAAAATAATTTTGGGATATTTGGTTTTGACCACCAATGACAGGTATACTTCGAATAAATCGTTAAGATTTGCATAATAGGAGTTATAGAACTACGACAGAGGTTTGGCCAACCCTGTATATTTTAGGCCGCGCAAACTCCAACCTTAAGCCCCAATAATTTTTTTAATTTAATTGTTTGGGCGTCGGGGCGACGCTTGAATGAAGGGGGTCATGTCACGCTTCGTATAAATTCACATTTTTTCCAAATTCTAATTAATTATTTAAATAACATCCTGTACACGAAAAATTGTTTAATTATGTAGTGAACTTGTTTAAGGATGTCCTTTCGCCACACCTCTCGCCTCAAATGTTAAAAAAAAAGTTATTAGATCATGACTAAAATTAATTTTTTTCTAATAGTTAAAGTCCTTATTTATCTAATACTGAACTTTTAACTATACCTTACCTTGCAAATTTTTGAGAATTTTTTTTTTTTTAAATGTGAGTATTTGTACAGTGCCTCACGAGAAAGTAAGTCCTCAACAACAATTCTCGAATTATACTATTATTTATTGATTAGATGGAGTAGAAAAAAACTAAAAATAAGGTTTTTGAAATATTTAGATTTTGTTTTATTCAATAAAATATATATAGTAAACCGTGGAACTTATTGAGAAATTAATATTAAAAAATCACAAAAAATTTTCAAGTAACCTAGTTGAAAATTTTTTGTGATTTTTTAATAATAATTTCTCAATAAATTCCACGGTAACCTATATATTTTATTGTAAAAAACAAAACCTAAATATTTCAAAAACCTTATTTTTAGTTTTTTCCTACTCCATCTAATCAATAAATAATAGTAAAATTAATTATAATTCGAAAATTGTTGTTGAAGTCTTACTTTCTCATAAGACACTGTACAAACACACACATTTTTAAAAAAAAAATTCTCAAAAATTTGCACGATAAAACTTCACTATTAGATAAATAAGGACATCTACTATTAGAAAAAAATTAATTTTAGTCATAATCTAATATTTTTTATTTAACATTGGTGGCGAAAGGACCTCCTTAAGTTGCAATCATGTACAAGGCTGATTATTCAATAATTAATAAATATAAATAAAATATTAAACTAACAAAAGAACTAGTATAAAAGGAAATTGAGGTCACATACTGGGATTCTCCGCGTGGCTAGGCCGCATCTTGGTCTCGAGGGCTTAGAGCCTTTTTTTTATATTTCAAATCGCGGTATTGACTTGAGTTAAAAGTTGTGACGTGTGCCCCAAAATTGGAGTTGGTAAGTTAATTTGTTTTTTAATATATTTATTATAGTTCTAGCCCATATTTATGTATGTCCAGTTGCGACATAGTTCTGTATACTTATTCTAAATATTTATATCATTATATTCGTTTTGAGAACACTGTGTTTTCTTCAGCCCTTAGGTTAGGTAGGTTCTGATATCAAGAGTAGAACCCTTATACAGTTAAGGGCTACGAAACCAAGTTTAAGGCTAAATAGTGTTTACGTGATTGAGGCCCTGAATTCATATATTTTGTTATTTAACCCCCGGGATATAGATAGTCTCATAATTATCACAGAGCACGTGAATCGTGACATTTTTTATTAAAATCTCGCATAACGTGACAATATAAACAAATAATAGTTGTTTAATTCAAGAAAACCATTTTCAAAATGAATGAAGGATTTCGGTCAATTCTGAACCAAATCTTCTTCGGTCGTCCCACAGTGTTCTGTGCCAATACTCCTTTTATCAATTTCCAAACGTTATTATTCCAGTATTATTAAAAATTTGGTAGACTTACGTATACTACTTCAGATTTCTTATTTAAAACCTTACGTTTATCTTCCTTCTCCTGCGCAAAATACTATTTAAAGCTCTTGTTATGTAATAAATTAGAATGTACCGTCTACGCATCTTATTATAATAATTTCCAATTTAACTTTCCCCTTGTAACATATATATTTTAATTCTTAATTCTTAAAGCGTGGATCTTGACCTCATTTCTCGAGAACAGAGGGGTGGATGTCTGTACTAATTTCTGTTCTTATTAATTTTCAAGTCATAAAGTTTCTTGCAGTGGGTTAGGGGTAAGTTAAGCATTTGCGATTAGGGTGCAAACGAAGGATGTATTGATTTTGCGCGCGATCTTATTAAAATTGCGATAGGTATTTTCGGTTTACAAGACAGTAAATAATTATACGGGGTTCGTCATTAATAATGGGTCATGAAGTAATTGAAGATGGCTTAGCCGGAGATAATACCTAAGCTTAACATTCAAATATGTTTTTTGGATATTACATATTATTTAAGGAGGTGAAGCTGTACGTTGTACACTCTAGTACCCAATTGTTGGATACTTTCTTTTTATAAAATTCTGCCACATTCTATGAAAATAGTCGTTTAGACAACAAAAGTGGATATGATTTCCATATCGCGCGAAGACGAAGTCGTCTAAGAACTTATAAAAAAAATTAAATAAATTTAGAGATTATTAACATGAAAAAAACTATTTTAAAAATAATTTAATACTCTTATTTATTTATAAAATCAAATAAACTTACGATTTATTTGCAATGTAGACGAATATCTTGTGGAATGCTATTATTCTTAACAAAAATATACTGACAATTAGTTTGACAGACTTATCACTTGTTTAAAATTTTAAACAATAACAGTAGCCCGGTCACTAAAAATGAACTGCATTTGATGGATTTCATATCCGTTCCGTATCGTTATTAGAATGGATATGAAATTATATCAGTTCAGTAGAAAGTAGAACGTAATTGTCTACTTTTTCGACCTGTGCATTGTGCGTAGAAGAGACAATATCCTTGTGGATGTAGAACAAAATTAAACATTGTCAAAATAATTTATAAAATTATAAAAAATAAAAAAAAACAAAAAAATTATAGAAGGAAAATACAAAAATAAATAAAAAATAAACATAAAATAAAATGGGGAAAATAATATTTTAAATTTTGAAATATAACTCATTAATGTTAGTAATTTTATGTACTTCAAATGGGAGAAAATAAACAATGTGGTAATATCAGAATAATATGGCATGATAACGAGTTTTTGAATATCAGATCGACTAACAAGTTTATTGGAAATAAATGATAGTGGCCAGAGCGATGTCCAGATTTTTCACCGCTTGATTTATGTTATTTATAAAACCGTAACAGTGAAACACTCTTTAGCCAATATTTTAGATAGATTGTGAGATTGGTCACTTGGTGCAAGTTGTGAATACTCTTGATTTAGTGAGATTCTGGATAACAGAAACTTTTCAGGAATCTAAATATTTTTTTAGAATCAACATCACCGAAATATTAATGTGTTAATAGTAAATAGACAACATGTTAGATATAGATCAATTATTAGTGTAACAAACCACTATTCTATAGATCTATTTAGTTTAAATGATAGGTCCCTAGCTACTGTTGTCAACATACTACTAAGGGATTAAGGCAGCACTGCCATCAGTCAAAGGGTCCTGGAGTCCAGAAGAAACATCTTAGATAAATATAATACTCGGGACGAAAATGGAAAAATTGGAAATATATGGAAATCAATAAAATATCTCAAAACAAAACCCAAGAACACTTTTAAAATAAGGTAAAGTTATTTACCTATAGTACACAAATCGATGCTCCTTTTTCGAGTCTCCTTTTACTCAAGACTAGTCTCTCTATTTAAAACGAAAATTTACGTGACAGCTTTACTTTTTAGAATTTTAACGTACTACCTTGAATAATTCTCTAGTTCAATGTAAGCCATTCTTTGTTTAACAAATCATTAACATTGATATACAGTATCTCAGAAAGAGTTAACTACAAATTAATTTTATATATTAATGATGCAAAAACAGACATTGTAAAGTTAATATGTATATATTTGTTAGTTTTTTTTAAAAACCTTTTGCCATTAGCTTCTGTATTTTTTTATACTTCTTTTGATGCTGTCTTGTCAAGAACGTTTTGTCGTACAATTTTGTAAAATCCATGATTAGTCAATAGAAACAAACTGATCTAAGCTTGCTTCCTTTTATTTGACATATTTTCTTAAAAAATTCAGCCCGTTTCACGGCACCATCAGGAAGTTCCATGAGATCTCCCCTTGGTTCATCTTTCTTCGATTTGAACCTATTGCTGCTAATAATAAGGTGTTCAATCAATCATCTGAAATCATACATTAATTTATAATTGTTTACCAATAATTGATTTAAATAACATCTCGAATAGCACTAGTATCCAGTATTCTTGTTTTGTCTTAGGGCACTTTTTTGTGGTAATTTTTAAACTTTACTGTTCTTTTACTGCTTGTGATATAGAACTAACAGTAAGATCGAGATTAAGTGCTGCTGCTACACGCTAAAAGACTACAATTTTATTAATTTAATGTTGATACACATTATTAATCTGCACTTACTTCATGAACAGCTGCTAAAGGTAGCAGAGGGCTATTATTATTAGGTTCATTTATTGTTAAAATAATCTATTAGCAACTATCTCCTTACAGCGAGTATTTAAATGTTTTGGCTTTATCAATAAAAAAAAATAGACAATAAACAAACACTACTAATAAAAACACAATAAATTTGTTCGTAAAAGAACCATGAGCGTTGCTACAACAAATTATTGGGTGAGGGTAAAACAATTTTGACCAAATTTCCCAACTATTTTGACCATATTTTTTAATTTACCGGGCGTTGTATGGTTAAAATACCAACACTCCGCCCTATAAAAATAAACTTAATTAGTGTTTTCATGCTAATTTTATTTTAAGTAAAAAGGACCCCGCACACCGCTTATGGAAAAGTGGCGACCTGTTAAAACATCGTAAATTTTTGATATGCTGCAGTTCTCGACCTTCTAAGCAATAGTGTCCGTGGGACCATTTAAATCCTATGAGTGGTTTTTGAGATACAGGGTGTTAAACTTAAGAAATACCACTTATTTGATAACGGTTATTTCAGAAGAAAGCTATTCGATTATAATTTTTTGTGCAAAATCTTATTGTTACAGCTTTTGGCATTCTACTAATATAAAAAGGGGTCAAAAATAATTTTCCTTTACATGGTGGGCCACAAATAAGTAAAGACATGTTTCTGATAAATACTTTTATTGTTTTAGAAGGTGAAAATATTTACTAAAAAAAATAATCGCTATATTTATCATGTCTGATGAAAACACAAAAGATATTAGGTGCCATTTATACAGGGTGATTCGTAAATATCGACATAGGCCAATATTTTATTTTATAAGTATTGATGTGAAACGTATTATTTTTACGTGACTTTTGTGTATTTAAGATATCTACAATTATTCAATTCGTTGACTACAGGGTGATTTAATAAATATATTGTTAGGTAATTCATCAAATGTGTCAAAGAAACAATTTTTTTAGAACCCTATATTTTTTGATTAGTCCTGTAAAAGTATACATATTTTTTCACTGGCATATGATCTATCCTTTAGAAAATATTTTGCAAAATTATAGCTTTTTTCTATGATTGGTTTTTGAGATAGAGGGTGTTAAACTTAAAAAAATACCACTTATTTGTTAACGGTTATTTCAGGAGAAAGCTAATCGATTATAATTTTTTGTGACAAATCTTATTGTAACATCCTTTTGCATTCTACAAATATAAAAAGAGGTTAAAAATTATTTTCTTTTACAGGGTGAGCCACAAATAAGTAAGGACGTGTTTTTGATAATTACTTTTATTGTTGTAGAAGGTGAGGATATTTACTAAAAAATAAATCATTGCTATATTTATCATGTCTAATAATAATTAATACAAAAATATTAGGTGGCATTTATACAGAGTGATTCGTAAATATTAATATTTTTTTTATAAGTATTAACGTGAAACGCAGTATTTTTACGTGACTTTTGTTTATTTACCATATGCACAATTATCCAATTTGTTGACTACAGGGTGATTTAATAAATATATTGATAGTTAAAACTGCACTTAAAACTTGTAACATAGATAGCTATGTTAACTAAGTATAAAATATATCTAATCTAATTCCCTTACCGCTGATGCATTTTCATTCTGTGTATATCGCATGTACGTAGCGTGTTTTTTCTCATTCAAGCAATAAATCTAGTAATAATTCATTTTCTTTTATATCCAAAATATGTCATTCGATAAAACAACTAACTATTAATATATTTAATAAATTACTATGTAGTTAATGAAAGTGATAGTTATAAATATGTTAATAATTCAATACTTACTTGTACAGTATTATAACTATTGTAGATACATACACATACCAGTCACTAAGAAGAATTGCATATCACATTAAAACATATTGGTCTACGTTGATCTTTACTAGTCAACCTCTATAATATGTTACATAAATAAAAGAAATTACCAAAAACATATATCTTTTCTTATTTGCTACTCATTTTATAGATGAACATATTTTTTTAACCCTTGTGTAAATTCGTCGAATGCCAAAAAATGTTATAATAAAATTAGCCACAAAAAATGCAATTGATTAGCTTTTTTCTGGAATAACAGGTAACAAAAAGTGGGTATTTCTTAAGTCAAGTTCTGTATCTCGAAAACCTATCATATTAAAAAGCTGTAATTTTTGGGAATTTATTTTCTACAAAATGGTTAATACACCAGTAAAGAAACACCTTTATAGGACTAAAAGTACTTATCAAATTTTGTTGACACACTATTAATCTATCCATTAAATCACCATGTAATCAATAAATTGGATAATTCTAAATATTATGTTGATATTATAAAAAATACATAAAAAACTAAAAATACGAAGTTTCACATTCATTAAAAAAATCAAATTACTCTGTATAAATGGTACCTAAAATCTTTTGTATTATCATTAAATATAGCAATAATTAATTTTTTGTACATATTTTCAACTTCTAAAACAATGAAAGTAATTATTTACGATTCACCCTGTAGAGACAAATATTTTTGGAATCCTGTGTGTATGTGTGGAGTGCCAAATGATGTTAAAATAATAGTAGATACACAAAATTATAATTGTAATAAAAAAAGGGTAATTTTTTAAGTTTAACACCCTGTATCTCAAAAACCATTCAGAAAAAAGCTATAATTTTGAAAAATATCTTCTAAGGAATAATTGAACGCCAGTGAAAAAATATGTTTACTTTTCCAGGACTAGGGTGCTTGTTTTTTTGTCACATTCGATAAATTAACTATCAATGTGTGTATCAAATCACCCTGTAGTTAATGAATTGGATAATTATACACATGGTAAATACACAAAAGTTCCGTAAACATACTGTGTTTCACATTAATACTTATAAAAAAAACATATTGGCCTATGTGGATATTTACGAATCACCCCGTATAAATGGCACCTAATATCTTTTGCACTATCATCAGATATAATAAATGTAGCAATAATTTATTTTTTAGTAAATATTTTTAGCTTCTAGAACAATAAAAGTAATTATCAAAAACACGTCCTTACTTATTTGTAGCTCACCCTGTAAAGAAAAATAATTGTTGACCCCTTTTTAAATTCCTAGAATGCGAAAGGATGTTACAATAAGATTTGGCACAAAAAATTATAATCGATCAGCTTTCTCCTGAAATAATCGTTATCAAATAAGTGCTATTTCTTAAGTTTAACACCCTGTATCTCAAAAACCAATCGTAGAAAAAAGCTATAATTTTGGAAAATATCTACTACAAGACGGATGATAAGCAAGTGAAAAAATATGTATACTTTTACAGGACTAATAAAAATAAAATAAATTAATTAAATAAAATTAACTATCAATATATTTATTAAATCATTCTGTAGTCAATAAAATGGATAATTTGGTTATGGTAAATAAACAAAAGTCACATAAAAATACTGCGTTTCACGTTAATACTTATAAAAAAATATATTGGCCTATGTCGATATTTACGAATCACCCTATATAAATGGCACCTAATATATTTTGTATTATCATCAGATATGATAAATATACCAATAATTAATTTTTTAGTAAATATTTTCACCTTCTAGAACAATAAAA